TGCACTGCTTTTGGCATTAGCTCTCTGATGCATAGAAAGTGATTGCAAAAGCCATGGCATATATCAGGCACACCTTAGTCTCCAGACTGACATCATTGCTCTTCGGTACTTTAGAGATGTCTCTAACTGCAAACTTTTCCATCACAATACGTCTTTTAATTTCCTGGCTGTTGGTGCCAAGAGTGTTGATTGTGGAGCCAAGCAAACTAAAAGTGTGAACAATCTCAATCTCTTCACCATCCATCATGATGCTGCCAGTGGGCCCAGTGGTGAGACTCTTTGTTTTCTTGATATTGAGCCTCAATCTATACTGAAAGTTGCAGTCCCTGACCTTCCACAGCAAGGGCTTCAGGTGCTCCTCCATTTCAGCAAGCAGAGTTGTGTCCTCTGCATAACGCAGAATGCTGATGAGTCCTCCTCCAATCCTGAGCCCACATGATACATGCCAGGGTCTTTGTAATCACTTGCTATATGCATCAGAGAGCTGGATAATGACTAGAGATGGTAAAAGGAGAACTGATACCTTTGAGCTGTGGTGTTGGAGTATGAACTGCTAAGAGAATGAACAGGTTCATCCAGGAGAGGGTGAAACCAGGCTTCTCCTTGGAGGCAAGGATTCTGAAGTTCCATCTGACATACTTTGGACATGTTGCAAGGAGGGACTGGTCCTTGGAGAGGGACGTCATGCTTGGGAGGGTGGAGGGACAGCGTAGAAGAGGATGACCCTCCATGAGATGGATTGATTCAGTGACTGGGGTCATGGGGGTAGGTGTGTCAGAGACAACAAGATTGGCAAGGGGTAGAGCAGGGTTTAGGGCTGTTGTACATAGCGTCGCTATGAGTCGCAGGCAACTCGAGGGCACAGAACAACAACATGGTGTTAGGTGCTATCACACCGATTCCCACTCAGAGTAGCTCTGTACAGTAGCCCCAAACACTGCCTGCTCTTAGACCATCCTCAGGTTCTTGCTATGTTTAAGCGCATTGTGTCAGTGCATTTCATTGTGCATCTTCCCCTCCTTTCCCTTGAGCTTTTCCCAGCATGATTTCCTTGTCCAGGGACCGGCCCCTCCAGATAACATGCCCAAAGTATGAGCCAAATTCTCACAATCCTGGCTTCGAAGGAGCATTCTGGCTACACTCCTTCTAAGACAGATTTGTTTGTTATTCTGACAGTCTATGATATTTTCATTATTCTTTGTTAACACCACATCTCAAAGGCATCTACTCTTCAGCAGTCTTCCTTAATCATTGCCCAACGTTTATACATAGAGAGCAATTGAAAATACTCTGCCCAACAAAAATAGCAAAGTTCAACATTGGCAGCAAACAACAAATGGTGATGAGGTTGTGAAGAGACTAAAACTCTTATTCACTGCTGGTGAGAATGTAAAATGGTAGAGCCACTGTGGAAGGCATTCTGGCGTTTTCTCAAAAAGTTGGAAATAAAATTACCATTTGACCCAGTATTTCCATTACTGGAAATATACCCTAAATGTACCACCGCTGCCACCCAAATAGATGTATGCACACCATGTCTACTGCTGCGTCATTCACCATAGCAAAGATATGGAAGCAACCCAATGCCCATCCACAACTGAATGCGTAGAAAAACTATGGTGCAGTCACACAATAGAATTCTACACAGCACTGAAAAACAATGAACTCGTCAAACATTACAAAACATGGGGGAGCCTGGAGGCCATGATGTTGAGTGAAATATCTCAGTCACAAAAGGACAAATACTGCATAACACTGATGTTCTAAAAACAGGACTAGCATGAGGGGATAGAGGAGAATAGGAAAAGAGTCGGTAGATAATGAACACTGCATTAGATCAGCTGTGGGGAAGAACTGTCTGAAAGGAATATATGATTGGGCATTATTTGTAAGACAACAGTCTGGAATAAGGGGTACATTGCAAAGTGGACTGGAGGAGAAGGAGAGAGGAAAATGTGCAACAATGAATAGTTTTCTTCTAAAAAAAAGTATATATTAAAAAAAATACTATGTCTTGGGTCAGGCACACTTTGGTCCACAAAGTAACATCTTTGCTTTAAAGAGCATTTTGGGAAATTAGCACATTTATCTATACATAAGACAAACTCAATTTCCACTTAGTTGACTCCAACTCATATTGGCCCCATGCGTATCAAAGGAAAGCTGTGCGCCATAGGGTTTTCAGTGGCTTATTTTGGGGGAGAGAAGGTGGAGTGGATCGCCAGATCTTTTTTTCTGAGGCTTCTCTGGTAGACATTTTGACTAGCAGCCGAGCGCTCCAATACTGACGGTAGTGAATAGATCATAAAGATGGATGAGATGAGCACACATGGGACTTAAGAGACCAATGACTCCTTACGTGACAGTTTCCTGTACAAATCTCATGACTTCATGCGTGAAGACTCTTGGTAACTATTCCTATCTCAGGGAAGCAGAGTTGATTTAGAAATCTTTCTTTCCTTTTTGAAAGAGAAAAGGAATCATATGTGTCCACTGATTACATCTAATGCTCCCTGCTAAAATTCATTAAGGAGGAGTTGGCCACATCTACAGCACCAGGAGGATCCCAGAAATGTTATGTCTGTTAAAGACTGCTTATTTTTCCTGATATTAGAGTCTTCATTTAGAGTTCATTTGGCTGAGTTTTCTTAGCTTTCTTTACTGCCCCATTTTTGTTATATCTTTTAAAAAGCCCAGACCTTGGATAAATAAAATGTGGTAGATACATACAATGGAATACCACTGAGCCAGTAGGAGACATGAAAAGCTGATCCCTGTTCTATATAGCATGTTGTTGTTGTTATGTGCCGTCGAGTCGCCTGTGACTCATAGCGTAGAGCTATGCTAAGTGAAATAAGACAAATATTGAATGACCTCCCAAAAAGAGAACACAAGGCAAATGAATAGAAACCAAAGTTTATTAGGAGAGAAGCCTCTCTGGTGGCCGAGTGGATAGGAAGTTGCCTTGCCAATCCAAAGACATGTGGTTTGATTCCACCTGCAACTCAGGAGGAGAAAAGTGGGCAGTCTTTTCTCATGTGACCTATAGCCTCCCAAACCCCATGGGAAGGTCAGCTGTGAGACTGTCTGACTCAAGGACACATAACAGCAACAAAGAAGAAAGAGTGAAAGGGGAGCGAATAGTGATGGAAATATCAAGTTGGTTAAAGGTAGAGTTGCATAGCTGGTTATTGTAGTTGCTGCCAATACGTTTGTATCTTTAGTGCTTCTATTCACTGTGCATCGTAGACCCAATAAATGGTCTGTATTCCTTTGGAGCAACGGAAGAAGGAAGAGTCAGAATCAAGAGGAGGATGTGAGTTTGTGAGGAACTGGATGATACGTGTCTGCCTGTTACCCAACATTTTGGTCAAAGACTCCATGAAGAATCCTGATCAAAAAGAGACAAATGCAGAATGGAATATCAAATTCTCCTGGACTCTAGACTTCCTGGAGACATCGAAGGTGGATAAATCCCTAAAACCAATAGGTCCTCTGAAGTGATTTTAAAACTGATCATCTTTCCCTTTTAAACTTTCTCTGTTTGGGAGAAAATTGACAACAGCAACTTGAAAAGCTAGATAAGAACCTTAGGAGAGTCAAGAGTTCATGTTAAGGGGGAGGAACAACTCGGGAAAGGAGGATAGGAAGTTCGTAACTCAGAGAAGGTAATCAATGTCAGCAGAATTTACGTGGAGAACATGTTGAATGGGGGTATGCTTTGCAGCGACAATTAGAAATGTAGACTTAAAAGCCCCAAGTTTCATTCCCTCCTAAATATGTTTGCTTATGCCATGGACTGTCCTTTTCTCTGTGTTATCACAACGTGGCTTCCAGATTTGCATGTCCTACATGTTAAATTGACAGCTGCGTAATCCCAGAATGCATTCCTGCAATGGTGAATACTAATATTTTATGATGATATCCTAGGAATTCAATTGCAGCTGCTTGCTGATATGAATGGTATCTTTATTATTTGATGAGTCAACCAGATGTATAAAGTATGTTTGTTGAAAGTGCCAGCTACCAAAAAGGATATGTGCCTCACTTATTGGAGTAAAAAGTGACGAATAATCCAAGAGCCCATATATGGGAGAATGGTTCATTACATTCTAGACAGCCGTGCTATCCACGACCCATCCATCAGTTTGTCTTTGTGGTGGCTTCTGTCTTTTCATGATTTTGGATGCTAGGCTGAAAGTATTTCAGATGCCACTGGGATTATCTGGTTTGGACTGGTGTCCAACAATAAAGCAGTCTGTAAAGAAAGGCCCTCGTGATTTATTTCTGAAAGTCAGCCAATGAAAATCCTGTAATACTGAATTAATAAAAGAAGTGTTGTTCATTTTAGTGCTGGGAGATAGAGGCACAGTGGTTGCAACAGTGGATTTTTAGCATGAAGAGGGTACAAGTCTAAGAAGCGTTTCTGTCATACACGGAGTCACTATGAGTTGGAGCCGGCCTCAGCAGCAAGCAGGACGAAATACTCTTCTCAGACAGTCCACGCAACAACTTAGCAAGTTACGGTCAAGGACACTGATAACGTGTCAAAAATCAAACTGTAAACGGTGCAGCCACTGTCAGTGGGGTCTGTGGATCCCAATCCATTTTCTTCTCTAGCTGTCCCCTGTTCACTCATGATGTGACAGCTGTGTCACAGACCATCCTCTCCTAGAGATTTGGTTCATAGTGGACATTGATTCACATAGACATGACCCCTAGGAAGAGGTAAACATATCCAAATGGCAAAAGGAAATCCTTTCCAAATGAGGTTACTCTCCTGTCTTTTCTAAAGGAAAATAGACTTTAAGAGCATTGTTCAAGGTTCTGGCTATGTGTTCAATCCAATTATGACATTTTTAAAGTATTCTCTGTTAAATATGTCAAGTTATGAGCAAAGTAAGTGGGAAAACATTGTTTTGCTCAATGATAGTTAATGATACTATATAAAATACTTTCCTGGTGGCTCTTAAAACATCTCGTTCTTTTCCTGTTTACAGATGGACAGAAGAGAAAGAAATCTTTGAGAAAGAAACTGGATTCCCTAGGAAAGGAGAAAAACAAAGACAGAGGTAAATGAACTAAAGCAAATGCATCTTCCATGGATCATAATGGTTGAATTTGGTGGAGTTTTCGAATTGCCTAGATTTATGTGGTTCGACTCTATTATGCAAACTGGGTTGCTCTGACGGAATGGCATTACGGGCCGCTTTGGTCTGCTCTTGTGTGTTCGAGTGGCCCTATACTGAATTGATGAGTTCAACCGGTTTGCACACGGGTGATTTCGGCCAAGCTTATGGTTCCAATTATGATTCTGGCCCATCAACTATGCAGCAAGAGAACCTGGGTTGAGTAGCCATAGACGGCATCTCTAATGCTAACCAGCTGTCTGGCAAATCCAGGCCATTAGGCAGGGCTGGGTGGATGTGAAAGAGATTGGGTTCGCCTGCCATGACTACTGGAAAGAAAGGCCCATGCTCATGGGTTACTGAAAATGGGCCCTTCTCACAATTTTGCTGTTAGAGCCCATGTTTGGGCCTGTGCTTGCTTCCTTAAATGTTTTGCAAATCATTGTCTCGCCCTTCTCTTCTGCGTACCTTTCTAGGTCTGTTTAGGAAGGAGACCCTTTAGTCATCCTTTCTGAGGTATTTGGCATCATTTTCAAAGCCTTTTCACTGAGCCTTCTCAGTGGGCACCTGGGCCCCATTGTTGTTGTTGTTGTTAGGTGCCGTTGAGTTGAGCTTGACTCAGAGTGACCCTATGAACAGCAGATCTGAATCCTCTGCTACCCTGTGTGCATCTCTCATAATCGCTGATATACTGGGGCCCATTGCGACAGTCGCTGTGTCAGTGTACCTGGTTGAGGGTCTGCCTCTCTTTCACCATCCCCTTGCCTTTCCAAGCATGATGTCCTTCTCCGAGGAAGAGCCTCTCCTAGATTCTCAAGGGAGAAGCCAGTCAGCCCACGGTGCTCTCAGGCTCCCGGTTCCCTGATTTGGAAGTGAAAAGACATATCGTGTCACCAGCCTGGCTCTGGGGCCCTGCACACTAGGCCCCGTGGCCCCCTCTCAGTGTCCCACTCGCCATCTCTCCCTCATGGGCCTGCATGCACTCCAAGTCGTGATCCAGCTGCCAGTATGACCTTTGTCCTACTTAGGAGGGCCCCAAGTGAATTCAAATGGTCTTTGGGTTAGTAGCACAACTTGCGAAGGACTGTGCTACTGGTCTCACCCACCCAAGCCAATAAAACTCAACTCCTTGCCCTCTAGCAGGCTTTTAGGGGCCTGTAAATTTCTCTGAAGGAGATTGCCTGTAATCTTTCCCTGAGCAGCTGCAAAACTGTCGGAGAGAAGCCACCTGTGAGTTAACAATGCAACTCCCTCCGGATTGTGCAAAAACGCAGAGCTGCTTTCCCTTAGAACACAGTCTCGTGGAATCATAGACTCCTGTATAGTTGGACGTCGCTGAATGGACATTAAACAATGCCTGCTTGTCCATCCATTTGATGAAACAGGGAATAAGTCCTGGGCCTCGACAACCAGTTAGGTGACCTTGAAGCACCTTTTTTATGTTGAGTCCATTTTGGCTTTAAAAGAAATTGGGGGAGGAAGGGAAGGGGGGGACCATGAAGCAGAGAGTATTCTGTAAATTGCAGCCTAATCAGTATAATCCCAGAACAACTCCACAGCATCGATCCCGTGTCTAAAACTCACCCATAAACGGTCACGACATTTAGTTCTATGGGACAAAAAGGAAATAAAGAATTCAGAAGAGCTCTATCCTAGAAGTCTTTCCTGAGGGTCAGACATGGTGTTTTGTGTTTTTGTTTGTTTGTTTTATTTTGTTTTTGTTTTTTAAATCAGCTTCAGCTATATAACGTCTGTGCCAAAGACTTCTAGTCCGTATTAACCAGGATACTAACCAGGGCACATAGTGTCACAGCTCAATTTGCTGCTGGGCTAGTACAGAAAAAATTCTGTGGTAACCTGTCACCATTGTCTACAGGACTCACATTTCTAGCACTAGTTGTGTTCTTGCCTTCCTGTCATAGTTCTTTTAAACAAGGGTTTTTATTCTTCTGCTTCTGTGTGAAATTCAGAACCAGACCCAGTTCATCTCTGGTCATTTGGATCCATTTGCAGCTCTGAGGGAGAAAGATGGGCGTCTCCTTCCATTAAAATTTATAGCCTTGGAATCCAATTGAAGGGCTATTATGAGTCAGAAACAGCCCGAATGTCCAACCACAAACGAATGGATTGAGAAATGATGGTATATTCACACAATGGAATACTATGCAACACCCAGGAACAATGATTTTGTAAATTATTGCCTAACTTGGGGGGGGGACTGGAGAGCATTACGCTGAGTGAACTAACTCAGTCCTGCAAGGATAAATTTTGTATAAAACCATTATTGTAGAACAAGTATAAGGATCCTGGAGGGGTGAGAGAGGCTAGAAGCAGAGGGATGTGGATGTGCAGGGGGAAGGGGGCATTAATCATTGGGTTGTACAATTTAATAAGGGGGGGTTGAGGGAAATTGAAAGAATTTGTTCAAATTTGTATTTGAATTTTGTAAATAAACCGGGGGAGAGGGGAAGGGATGGGGAATTGTATACCAATGAAGGAATTTTTTTTTCTTTTCAAAGAGAGGAGTGAACTGGTTGGGAGGGGTGGGCAGGGAGAAAAGTGCAGCAATGAATGAATGGAAATCCAAAAATCTCTGTAAATGTTTATTAAAATTAATTTTAAAAATCTATACAAAATAAAAAGGATTGAATTAGTAGCAGTGAGTGAGTGAGTGCAGGCTTGAGGTGGTTCACCCAAAAGTGCTCATTATACGGGGCTAATCGGAAAAGAGTCTTGAACATCCCTTGGACTGCCAAGAGAACAAACAGCTCTGTCCTGGAGAGGAGAAAGCCAGGTTGCTCCTTGAAGGCAAGGGGGAAACATGCTCAGAAGGATGGAGGGATAGCGCAGGAGAGGAAGACCCCGGATGAGATGGACGCCCAGTGACTGGGGCAGTGGGGATAGGTGTGTCAGAAACAGTGAGACTGGCTCAGGACCGGGCAGGCTTCAGAGCTGTTGTACATAGGGCCGCTATGAGTCAGTCGCAGGAGACTCGACGGCGCAGAACAACAACAACAATCAGAGTGAGTGCCGTTGCAGGAGGTAATATTTGTGTTTCTGTGTGCTACATGAAAAGGAGCAGGATTATAAATGAGGGTGAAGGAAGGATCAGGGCCAATAGCCAATTTCCACCGGGTCAAAGAGTACACACTCATCTGACCCAGTGACACTTCTTGGACTCCTAAGACAGCTCCGTGGGCACTCAGCTAGAGGGAAGGAGATAGACCAAAGCCCGACCTCATCTTTCTCCCACACAAGTGATGCAATGGTCAGCTCTCCAGGCTGCGAGGGGAATGCTGTGCAGTCTTGGCCTGGTTGTAATGGGTTCACATGCTTTCTCTGCAGTTGAATCTTGGCGTGTAGGCTCATGACAGCTGCACATGAGAAAAATGTTCATCATTTGGGTGCAATGGTTAAAGGAGGAAAACAGGAAACTTGGAGACCTCTCTTGCTGGGTCATCTAAAAATAAATAAGATTAGGCTTTTAGAACCCAAGAAATCGTTGGATGCAATAAGGTTGGCTATCCCATTCACTGTATTGATCGATTCAATCAGAACGAATCATGTCCCAGCTGTTTCTGATTGGACTGGAAAAACCAAGGTCCATGTGACCCCTTGGTGCCTCCGGCCCTTGAGCAGGGACCTGTGTTCCTTTGGATTTCTATTTGGACAATACTTAGGGGTTGATACTGATTCCGAAAACCCATTTCCATGTAGAACAGTTCCAAGGTCTTCATTTCTCTTGGTTAAATAACTTGGCAACCAAAAATAGTTATTTTAAAAACTTTCAGAACTTTTGAAAATTGCTTTCAGGTTTTTAAAAGGAAGAGCTGCCTTTTAAAATGAAAAAGTTAAAAATAACTCCTTTTTTTCTAGTTAGTATGGTTCCTAATCAGCACAATGTGCAGTAGATTTACCGTGGCATTAATTTGGAGCTTGGCCTGCCTCAGATATTTTCAGATTAGATTTACCATTTTCATTAGCTGTGTCTACTTCAGACTTGGTACTCCTGTATGCTGAAATGATATTAGGAAGTGTATCATTGTTCTTAACTCCTATGAGATCTGAGAGGTAATGCAATATGGGAATGCATTGATACATAAAGAAAAATATATTGAATGTCATCATTGAGTGATCTCATAGTTCCCTATGTGACTACCATAATGGAAATAGCACCAATAGAGGGCTTTAAAGGACAAATATTTATTTTCATGGTCCTCGAGGCCACAAGTTCAAATCAAGGTTTTTGTATTTTTACCTAAAAAAGCTTTTATTTTAACATTTTTCATAGTTTATGAAATAAGTACTGTGACTCCATGGTGTTCCTTGGTATTCTTGGCATGTGTCTTCTCCCACATAGGACTCCAAGTCCATTCAGTTGTTTTATAACTCAGAAATTATTACGTTTAAAGCCTACTCTACTCTGATACAGCCTCATTATTCCCAAGAAAGGTGATCCAACAGAATGTGGAAATTACCGCTCAGTATCATTACTATCAATTGGAAGCATCCTGATGGATGGTGAAGAGCTCGAGATTGTTCACACCTTTAGTTTGCTTGGCTTCACAATCAACCCTTAGCACTTGCACTCAGGAAATTAAGAGATATATTGTGTTGGGAAAGAGACCTCTCCAGAGGTACTGAAGAGCAATGATGTCAGTCTGGAGACTAAGGTGCACCTGATACAGGCCATTGTCTTTGCAATCACTTGCTATGCATCAGAGAGCTGGACAATGAATGGACTGTCCTAGAGAGGGATGATAGAAGGAGGATTTGATGCCTTTAAGCTGGGTGCTGGAGAAGAGTATTGAATATACCATGGACTGCTAAGAAAACAAAGAAGTTTGCCCTAGAGAGGGTGAAACCAGGCTGCTCCTTGGAGGCAAAGATTCAAAAGCTCCGTCTGACATACTTTGGACATATTGCAAGGAGGACCCAGTCCT